GTGTAGCCGCGGGCACGGAGTTCGGACTAAGGGGGATTTAAAAATGGCGGCGCCCGGGAACATGCAAATGAAGCCCGAGATATTTAAGTCCCGGGCTTCATTTGCAACTCCGCTTGCCCTAATTACCCTAACTAGCTCGAACAAATGAGCTAGTGTAGACGTACCCTATTTGCCAAGAGGTGCTATTTGGTTATGAGCATGATTTTCTTTAAAAATTCTTTACGTGAATCTATTCCTTAGTCCGTTGCTCCTCTTCTCTGAAACAAGAAGCATCCCTGTATATTTGGGATACATGGGACATTCCTTGGTCAGAGTGGTATATGTGGCAGCTAGTCGCCTTTCAGCTTCCCTGATCCTATGAGCAGCCAGGAGCTAATATGGTTCCTAGTATAAATTAGAGCAGCCGCAATACTGTGATCTTTTTTGTGCAGTTGGTAATAGTCTCCTACAAGTTTTTTCACAAGCCTAGGTTTGCTAAGTGCAGCTTGTTGTCCCTATAATCATTCATGATTCCCAGCATGCTCCTGGCCCGTCCCCTGCACTTGGGATCTAAGAGTAGACAGTGTAAAGCTGGCTAGGCCATTTTTATGCCACCCAGGGTTTCCTTAACACACAAGGGAATCTACAGCTAATTCCTGAAACAAGCACTTTGTTGACTTTGTGCTGCTAGAGCAGGGAATAGAATGTGGCCTTTTGAGTTTATCACAGGTGAACAGGGAAAGTTTTAAGAGCCCCTTGTTAAAGTATTCACAGTACCTCACTGGGATTATTTTATATATATCATAGTTGAACAGAGCTAATTTCCAGGTACCAATTTAGTGTCTACTACCACATGAAATGGAAGATAAGTGGAATGAAGTCCCATCCTGGGTTTAATGGTCTTATCTTAAAAATAATCCCTAAACCCACCTTCCTTTGATGTGGTACTTTTCTCAAGCAGTTAAAACAAATGCCACATGAATAGGTAGTTTGGAAGGGATACACAGATTTAGCCATGCATCTCCTATGAGCAGCGAGCTCCAAGTGCAAGTGTATGCCTCAGTCTTCCATGTAACCTAAACACATTGTGCAGAATCCAGAGGCACACAGTTTTTGGACATTCCTCACTACAGGAGCAGAAGAGAACATTTTTAGAGATACTTTTAAAAGGGTACAACTTATCTTCATGGTGTGAACTTATTCATATTCTTCCATTAGAAAAAGTGAGCAAATCTGAGATGCCGAAATGAAAGATGATGGTAGGACTTCCTGCTTTTGCCATATCCTTTCATAACCAGACACCTGGCAGGACTATGTGGTTAATGAGACTATTAGAGTGTTAGTGGGAGTAGGGGGGTTATCACAGTATAGGATATTTATTTCATTCTAGCATCATCACCACAGTTACAGGTTATATTCCAGTTTTCAGACTGAATGATAGTAAACAAAATATTTCACAAGTCAAAGGCAACATTATAAAATTGTCTCGGAAAAACATCTATAAAGCAAGCCTAAAACACACACCAAGCCACCTATAAAATAATATGACTGTAAAACATTATAGAGGTCTTATTGATCCTCAATACCTAAATGTTACAGAGCTTTTAATAATAGATGGGTGAAATATAAATATGCCACATAATAGTGCATTACTCTAAATAACACCAATAAATCGTAAAGCTTAACATAAAATTGAAATATGCTAATGGAATATTGTGTGGATTTTACCCAGTAAAAGCAGTCAAAAACCTACCAAAACATTAAAAGAGACTGAGATGAATGAGGGAAATTAATTAATATATAGGAATATTGCTTATCTTTTTTATTTTGCTTTCCATTTTTGCGGTAGGTTCCCTCGGGCATTTGTATATTGGCTGTAAGTTACTGTGTCATTTTCTCATGCAAAGATTTGTCCAGCTGAGATCTTCTTAGGTTTCTCTTAATTCCAGGGGCCACCATTTTGTTCAAATTCTTCCCTCTGGCACATGTCAGACATTAAAAAAAAAAAAAAAAAAAAAAAACTATTGCATTGTCTTACCTCCTTTTGGGAGAATGACCTGGGCCTGGAGGATCCTCCCTGCTCTCCCTTACTCAGAGAGCACTATGTCCTGGAGATCAAACTAAAGATTACAATGATATTCATCTCACTCAGGGGCCTGAAAACAACAGCTGTGTGACACTTCTGTTTTTTGTTTAGTATAAACAATATATTGGCTATAACTGAAATATATTTAAAATCATTAGCATCATCGATGTGAAATAGGTCATCCTCTTATTCCAGAGGAGGGTAAGCTTACTTGTAGAGCTGGACAATTTTTTTAAAGAAAACTGATAGGATAGAGACTCTTTGTTCATTGGTAGTTAAGACACTGGCCTGACTCTGGATTCAAACCAGAGTTTTTCCTCACCTTGTTCACTCTAAATCAGATTTGAATCTGGGTCTCCCACATAAATGTGCTAAGCACCAGGCTATTGAATATACTGGGGTACTATTTCTCCCCAGATTTGTGAAAGATTCCAAAATTAAATTTTGAAATCTCAATATGTTTTGTGAAACACAATAGTTATTTTCCAACCAGCTCTAATCATATATAAACTATATTCTTCTCCTAAGAGAAATTCACAACAAAACTAGAGCTGAGCAGTTTTTTCTTCTTCTTTTTGTTCTTTTTGGTAAAAAAAAAGTATATTCAGGTCAACCTAAATTGTGTTAAATTCACTGAATTATTTCCATAGAAACAAAAACAAAAAAATCTGAAAAAAGTCTAAATGTTTTGTTCTGACATTTTCTAAATGAAATGTATGATGGGGTGCAGTCACAGAAGACTCCTTCGGGGTGCCACTGCCACTTGCTTTCCTGATTTCTGGGGATTCTCACTGCTCAGTCCTACCAGGCCAGCTCCCTGGTTTCTACTAGCCAAGGCACCAAGCAGAGATCACTGCCCACCCTCACTCCCCCAAGAAGCAGTACAGATGCTGAATCTCTTCAGGTCCAAGGAAAATGCGGTGTTGGCCCAGCTTCTTGGCATACCACTCCCCGAATGGGATCAGAACCCCAAATGAATTATTTAGGTATGCCCCCTTTAGCAATGAAAGGGGGAATGTACACACTTATTGCTCTCTCAGGTAACAATTATTTACAGTGGGCCTGATAGTAAGTAAAAGTGATTGTATTAAGTACAAGCAGTAGGATTTAAGTGATTATAGCTGAGAACAGGCAGAGCAAAGTAGATTACAAATTAAAAATAACAGAAAACACTTAGTACAAACTTATTACAAACTCACCTTAAAACTGTTTTTTTTTCTAGCTAAGCCTTCAAACCAGAGAAGTGTCCCTTTCCCTAGGGTCTTTGGTTCATTCCCTTGGGTGTGCCATGACAGCCCAAAGACCAAGACCTGTTAGTTTCCTATTGTTTAAAATATTCCCACTCTTGCCTAGGAAGTTACATGGCCAGTCATTATCAGTTAGGGAGCTCATGTGACTTCCTAAGACCAACCACTGCTAATTACATATTTACATATGCTTTACCCAGACATTGAAGCATTCCAGCACTGGGAAACCCTTGATGGCTTTTCCTTTGCAGATTTAAAAACACAAAACATTTAATGCTCCATATGTCTAATTTTACACACAAGAATGATACATACACCAAAATGAGATAAACAATTCCAGCGGATTATGACTTGAAGATAGATAGGTTATATGAAACAATTTGTCCAAAGCATCTTTGAGTTATGTATATTTGTGTCCATAAACCCATTTCATAAAGCAGGAGTGGTCAATAATTTTTGAAGAGGGGCCACTCCAAGGTTTTGGAAAGTGGCCAATGGCCACTCTTTCATTATATTAATGCAGGATGGGTGCAGATGGGTGCTTGGGGTAAGGAATTGGAATGCAGGAGAGTGTATGGAGTCTGGGAGGGAGATTGGGTGAAGGAGGCAGTTTTGACCTAGGGCAGGGGATTAGAGTGCAGAGGTTTCAGTTGTGACCTAGGGCAGGGATTGGGGTGCAGGGTCTGAGTGGTGGTTTGGGTTCAGGAGGAGACAGAGGGTTTGTTTCATGTGGGGTAGGAGTGCAGGAGTGAGGGAGCTGGGGTTTGGGGATAACGAGGGGATAAGGTGCCAGAGGCAGGCTGTGGCCAGGAAATATATCTGGGTAACTCTCAGCCAACAGCCCAGCAGGTTCTCAAACAGGCAGTCAGCCAGCCAGCCAGCCAGCCAACCAGCTTGCCTGCCTGCCTACCCCATCCTGCACAGGCTACAGTTGACATTTGCATTGGTGAATAATAGCCTGAGGGGAGGGGGCAGTGCTGCACTGCCTGTTTTTCAATCAAGCAGCTCCCATTGGCCAGAAATCAGTCAATGGAATTGTGCTGGGGCAAAGCAGCACATGAAGCACCACTCCCCTTCCCCAGGCTCATAACTGAGAAAGAGAAATGGCTGCGGCAGCCACTTTTCTGAGAGGCATAAGGGGTAAGCAGGAAATCTGCCTGAGGTTCCCCGTTGCATCTGTGGGCCAGATCCATTGACTTGTTGGGCCAGATCCAGCCCGAAGGACATATTTTGCCCAGGCCTGTCATAAAGCATGGGGAGGGATCCATCATAAAATGTTTCTATTTTTTATTCAAACTTGCTCTTTAAAAAGCGTCAATTTAATTTTGAAAAAGGTTTAAAAAGTTCCATAAATAAATAAAATATTTAATGTGGAGTTGGCAAAACATTTAATTAAATCCGAAGAATTTTATTTTTTACTTTTTTGTTTTGCTGAAAAATTGAGATTTTTTTTTCATTTTGAGTTTAGCTGAACGAATTCTTTTCCTGATATTATTGTTGGATTTTTGGTTTGGTGGTTGTAGTTTTTGTTTTATTTATTTGGCTACCAATCAGTTTTTCACACAGAATTTGTGCATAATTCTTGCTTAGGCTTTCTGCACAGGAATGTATTTAACCAATTGAGAGACTGATGATCACAAACATGTTTGTTACTCTGGGCTTTTTTAAACAGATATTGATTGTTTCAGGTTGGGATTGTTCAATATGGGCAAAATGTAGTCCATGAATTTAACCTCAATACTTACATGACAACAGATGATGTAGTAATTGCAGCCAAGTCTATACATCAAAGAGGTGGAGCACAAACTATGACAGCTCTTGGAATAGATACAGCAAGGTAAGTACATATAATTTATAAAGTACAGCAGGGATGATTAAAATCAGATGTGTTCGTTAGATTTGGTTTTTATATATTTTGATTTGGGTTTATGTATATTTTAATCTTAGCAAAGTTCTGAAGGATCTTCCGTAACCATGCAGAATAGGTTAATTTGTTTTTTAAAGTCTTGTCTGAAATAACTCCATAAATTAAAGTACATGGTTAATTGTGGTGTTAATTTAACTTCCTTAAAGGTATATAGGGATGAACTGAATCTACCAGGATTTGAATCTGCAATTCCAAAGGAGTCTAGAAGTATAGACATTTGAAGTAAAGTCTCCATATATATGTGTATATATATTCAAATAAGTGTTCAAAGTTCTTTCTGTGCACTTACCCTTTTCATCTGCTCATTAGCTGGCTTGGGGTTTGGCCTAATTTTGGAAGGATAGAAAAAGGGAGAAATTTCACCTTTATTGGAATGTGTTTGTTCTGTTTACTTTTGGGTATGATAATAATTTCTAACTTTTTCTAAAGTTAGGCTTAATTCTAGAGCTATGTAAATAATGGAGTTTTTTGGTGGTATATTTAATTTAAATAAGGCAAAAATTTAAAGTAGACCCCAAAACCATTTTTGTTCAGTTAATAGAAAACGTCAAAAAAAATCATTTTGACAAAATCAAAATATTTTGTTTCAATGCTGACCATTTTTATAGGTCTTTGAATTTTTAAAATAAAATAAAAGGCAATTTAGAAAAAATAATTAATTTAAAACAGAAAAATTAAAACATTTCATTTAAAAATATCAAAATGAAACAATTTTTTCAGAATTTTGTTTTTTCTAAATAAATAAGTCAGTAAATCTCATATGAATTCACAAAATATTGTGATGTTGCCTGATGTGCATTGCTTACACAAAAATATTTTTGTCCAAAAAATTTCACCCAGCTTTATTTAACATATCCTTATGCAAAATGTGACTATCTGAATAATACAGGCAACTTTGTTGATATGAAAGATAAATATTTTTAATTTTTCCCCATGATATGATAACTTTTTAAATCTTTTTCTTTTTCAAACTTTTTTATATCTTATTTTTGCCAAGCATAGAGGGAATTTATGTGGAAAAATGAAATTTGAACACAGGTACTTAGTATCTTTTGTCTATTTCTTTAACCTCCTCTTTACCTATAAATGGAGTTCTAGCTATGTCGTCTACCAGTTCTGCCTATGTTGCTCCTAGAGTGATGCCATCTGCTTTAATTGTTCTATTATTTTATTTACTAATATCACAATCTACCAAAAATCCCCCTGACAATGCATTTTGTTACATTATTTTGTTCTCTTCTGTAAAGGTTGAACCTCTCTAGTCCAGCACTTTCTAGTCCAACATGACTTTAGTTAGCCAGATGTCCACTTATCCTGGGTGTGGCTAAGTTTCCTCTGGTCCCGTAAAATTTGTTTACTGCCACCAGAGTCCTGGCTATCAGTGTTCTGTGCTGTTATTTAGCTCTAATTTACCCCAAATGTCTTCTAAAAGCCTATTAAGCAGTGGAAGTTTTGGTAATGCTGCTTATTCTGCAAATTCTCTGGTTTGGTACTGGCCATGTCTTGAGGGTGCTGGACTAGAGTGATTCAACCCATAGTTTATTCAGACCACATCTCTTCCTCATAGCCCGTGTCTCGACTACAACCCTCTGCCAAGAGGTATGCAAATCAAGCACTTCAGAAGTGCAAATGAGCCCTGGATTTAAATATCCTGGGCTTCATTTGCATACTCACATTTTGACTCTGTGCCGATCAGGCTCAGTGTCGAAACTGAAAGTAAAGTGTAGCCGCGGCTCTGCCGACAGTGGGGAGCTTTTTTGGCAGCTCCTGTACTGATGTTTATGTTTTTATGGCTCTGCTCAGTACAGTACTACTCTTCAGTAAAATAAATCCTATGGTAGAAATCTGTTAGAATCAATATCTTAAAGACAACCATAGAATAAAATGTGATTTTATTAGATGTCCAGTGTCAGGGTATGTCTACACTACCCCCCTAGTTCGAACTAGGGGGGGTTATGTAGTCATACGGAGTTGCAAATGAAGCCCTGGATTTGAATTTCGTGGAACGAGGCGTACAGCTAGTTCAGATTAGAAAGCCTAATCCGAACTAGCTAGTCCATGCCGCATGTAGCCGCGTGGCACGGGGTCCGACCTAGCCGGCATTTAAAAATGGCACTGGCCGGCTTTATGCAAATGAAGCCCAGGAAATTCAAATCCCTGGCTTCATTTGCAGCTCTGTATGACTTCATTACCCCCCCTAGTTCGAACTAGGGGGGTAGTGTAGACATACCCTTAGAAGTTTCTGAAAGCACTGGTTCTCAAATATTAAGGGTGCATCTAGACTACGTTGAAGTTTTGAAAGAGGATATGCATATTCCACAGGAATTTGCATATCTTCTTCCGGTCTCACTTTCAAAAGTGCAGCCTTCTAAAGTGAAAGTAGTTGGGACATGTTTTTTTCGGCAATCCCCCCATTTTTTGAAAAGCCGCGTAAACCTCATTTTTGAGGAAGAGTGGCTTTTCGAAAAAGGGTGGGGTTGCCAAAAAAAATCGCATTCCGACTACTTTCACTTTTCAAAAGTGAGATCAGAAGAAGATATGCAAATTCCCAGAGAATTTGCATCTCCTCTTTTGAAACTTCAGCATAGTCAAGACATAGCCTAAGCATTGAGGGAGAATTAAAGTCCTTTATTCTGAATATTGTTGCTTCAGGAATCCTCCCTTATCTCAATGAATCAGTTCTGGCTTCTGCTAGATAGACAATGAAAGTAAAATGAGACTCTCATACAATTGTTGTGGACAGCTGTCTGATCATCACTATGAATTCATCAGGCTAAGCTGTGAGATAACTGAAAGAGACAGCGTTCATATTCCACATAAAAGAAAGAGAAAAGAACGTAGGGATGAGATTTTCAAATGTGTTCAACATTGATCTGTTCTACTTCCATTTAAGTCAATGTATAATGCTACATATATCAAAGAAGAATAGCTGATGAACATGTTGTGTTTTATTTGCAGGCACAGATACCCTGCAGTGGGTAGTGGGTATTTTGCTTTTGTATGCATGTTCCCAACAGGTGTGGGTCAGATAATTAGAAATAGATTTACAATAACAATAATAACAATAATAGCACAGTATAGCTGACCAGAGATGCATTATGCCGTGTCTCAGAAGAAGAGTGTAATGCTGACATAACAAAGTACATTGTAAACCTTAGCTACAACAGAACAAGAATTAGGCCATTGCTAAGAACTTTTGAAAATTCCATTCAGTATGTTCTTCTTTCTTCTCTTCTCCTTTCTGTCGGACATTTGTTTTTTCTGTCATGGTAGAATTTCTATATTCTTATAATACAATTCATTGCCCATGTCCAGCCAGCCATGTTGTACTAGTAGTGTGACTATGAATTTCATTTTGATTACTATACCCAACTACTGGCAAGTAATTACTAGCTGGTTGGATGTCCTTTCCATCTATTTAAAGAATCTGTGCATTCACCAGATACCCTCTTTCAATACAAGCTGCTGAAACCTGTGGTTTTTAGAAGAGAAAGCCCTGGACTCTATTTTCCAGGCATGCTGTAGATAAGTTTAGTTGATGATTGTGCTGTCCCTATGCTTTTGTTGCATCATGAAACATTAATGAATGAATAATTAATTAGTTTATAAAATCATTAGCCAAAGAATATTACAGTAATTATTGCCATTTATGTTAATATTTGATCATATTTAGAATTCATGTCTTCCTTCTGCTTGTTGGTTGGCAAGTAGTTTAGTCTCTGATCCATTTTTTTAAAATTCTGTGAAATCAGAGTGGTATTTTGCTTTTGTATGCATGTTCCCTAAAGGAAAGAGGCATTCACTGAGGCTCGTGGTGCACGAAGAGGAGTAAAGAAAGTAATGGTTATTGTGACTGATGGGGAATCACACGACAACTACAGATTAGAAGATGTGATTAAGGACTGTGAACATGAAAACATTCAGAGATTTTCTATTGCCGTAAGTGAAATGTTACAGGAAATTTAAATCTTAAAAGCATGTTTTATCTATTAAATTGTAATGCCTGTTAAAAAGTTTATTTCACAGCATCTTTGTGGAGCTATAATTGCTCAAGAAAGAGGGGGGGGGAAGGGGAAACTTAAAGAATATAAAAGATAGCTTTCCAGTTTCAAAACACATCAGAAAAAGTCAGTCAATCCATCTTGCTAGTGGAGGGGATGTATGTATGTGAGTGTTAATGTGTGTGCGTGTTGTTAATGTGGAGGGAAAGAAATATGTGAAATCTCTTTGTTAAGAGCAAAAATAAATTGAGTGGATTACTCTGAATCATCCCAGCAAATTCTTAATAGATTTTATCAGGTTTTTAATCATTTTATTCTTCATTGATCTATGTTATTAGGATACAGAAGCTGCCTTTCTCATGGTGGGGGGCAAACACTAAAAGCCATGAAAGAATGAAAATGAAATTTGAGATTATATTCCCTTTGGGTGCGTCTATACAGCAGGGCTTAACTCAAAATAAATTAGGCAAATTGAGCTATGTCAATTGCGTAGCTTATTTTGAAATTGAAATTGAGAGCTTCTACTCAGCACTTATTTCAAATAGAGGACTCTTCCTCCGACTTCCTTTACTCCTCATACAATGAGTATTACAGGAGTCGGAATAAGAAGTCCTTCAGCTTGACATTTTGACATTATTTCAAAATAACTGCCTGCTGTGAAAACGCGGACTGAGTTATTTCAAAATAATGCTAGTATGTAGATGTACCCTAAGAAGTACCCTAATAATTAAATTCAACTTAATAACTCCCCATTTTACAAAATCGAAATAGCATGTCCTGACCACAAAATGTGTCTGAGTCAGGCTCCACTAATGAGGATACTGTACCTAGACTTAAAACCCCAGGAAGCACTGGGAAGTAATTAGTTCGAATTACGCTAGGAATTAGTTATTTTGAAATAGGACTGGAGCATCCACAATAACACTATTTTGAAATTAGAGATATTCCCCAAGAAAAGATTTTGAAATAAGCATCCCATTATTTTGAAATTGTGGGCTTGGTAGTGTGGATGCTCTTCTTGTAAATTGACCTAAGGGTTTTTGTTTTTTTTTTAAAATAAAGCCCTAGTTAGACCAGGGCCTACAGTTTTGTAATTAGCACTGTATAGAAGTACCCTTTCTCATTGTTTATTTTTATAGTACCATAAATTTTCATGGCTCTTAAATAGAACAGAGTACTCTTGCTCCAAAGGGCATATAATCTATGGACATGATACTGCAATGTGAACCCCTGCACCTATACAGGGCCTCAGTAAAATTATGCATTATATGTAGGGATATGGCCTAAATTATGATGTAACTTGATGAGTGATTTAGAAATGTTGTAGGATATAGGGAAGGATGAAATTTATAGCAGATGTAAAGTGGTTGTTCTGTTCGATATAGCTGATATTTTCAGAAAACTGGGCCTTGGCATAGCTGTGTATTCCTTGAAGGTGTAAGTAGGAACACAGTTAGTGCAATGTAGTTTTTTTTTAAAACCCACTCTAAATTCACATATTTGTGGAGATTTCTGGATCTATGTATCTCCCACCCCTTCCTTAAATTCCTCCACAAATTTCTCTGTACACATAAATGTGTTATGTGAGAATCTGGGGTGGGTTGGTTTTTTGTTTTGTTTTGAAGGGAACACAAGAATTTGTATCAACTTCTAGACAAACTTTAAAGTTAATATTCATGAGTTCATATTATCAAACGTGGTTTTCTGACACTGTAGTACTATTGTTAAGCGGATTGAATTAAGCTAAGAGACTATTTCCCAGTATGCATTGACAATCTGGCTAAAATGTATCTTTAAAATATAATGTGTAAATATATTCTTGACATTTTTTATTGCCTTAGATTCTTGGTAGCTACAGCAGAGGAAATTTAAGTACAGAGAAATTTGTGGAGGAAATAAAATCAATTGCAAGTGATCCTACTGAAAAGCATTTCTTCAATGTCTCAGATGAATTAGCTCTTCTCACTATTGTCGAAACACTTGGAGAGAGAATATTTGCCCTAGAAGGTATAACATTTCTTTACATGTTAATGTGTCCTTGCATTATGACTGAAATAAATAATGGATCTTATTTGGGGATGCATTGTACTGGGTAAAATACAATACTTTAGATGTTTATTTTTTAGCAGATTGGTCATACAACTGTCTTGTAATACATATGAGTAAGGATCGATGATGTGAAATGTTATGCTTGAAGGTTAGAATAGATGGAGACATTAGGCTGAAAAAAGTACAGAATATCACTGTATTAAGCACCATTGCGGTAACACACCAGGGCTATGTCTACACTAGAGGCTTCTTGCGCGAGTAATATGCAAATGAGGCTAAGCGTGGAATATTGCTGAGCCTCATTTGCATACCTAAGGAGCCACCATTTTTTCAGAAGAAGCTCTTGCGCAAGAAGGGGCAGTGTAGATGCTCCTTCTTGCGCAAGAGCCTCTTCTGAAAAAATGGTGGCTCATTAGGTATGCAAATGAGGCTGGGCGATATTCCATGCTTAGCCTCATTTGCATATTACTCGTGCAAGAAGCCGTGAGTGTAGACATAGCCCAACAGTGCCAAATCTCTTCCTCACACATTTATTTCTTTGAAACTTTAGCTAGAGTTTGAAGTATTAAAGATAATATAAAACACAATGGATCTTTACATTTCTCTTAGTCTCATTTTACATTTCACTGATGTTTTCTGAGATAAAGTGATTTCTGGAAAGTATTGGGAATGGAGTGCATTTTGATTTGAGGGTGAAACATTTCATTCTGTCTGTCTATCCTACATTTTTCTTTAGAGCCTCTAACAATGGTAGTATCTGACTACCTCCCAAACATTGTTTAGTTATTGATTATTCCATATTACTTTGCCCACAGGCTACTTGACCAAGGTGCTAGAGCTGCACCGAACTATTCTTTTTTATATATATATTTGTTCATAGAATCCAGCTTTTTAATAGAGCAGATCCTTTGTGTAGTAATGATTGCCACATCTGCCATCCAAATCAGTCTATGTCCTCTATCCCAGTTAGACAATATTGTGTTTCAAGCATGTGGCAAATAACAGAACAAGAAGTTGTTTATTCCTCTTAAATTATAGCCATTTTTTCAGAAAGATTACATTGCCTTGCAAGGAACTCATTTGTATATACCTCACATTTCAACATCTCAACTTTCCAGATAATTAGAATGGGATTGTTTATCTCGAGACCAAAAAAGTCTGTTAACTTAAATGTCAAGAAATAATATAAATATAAGAAATAATTTATAAAAACATTTAAATTAGAATTCCATTTTTAGGCACATTTAGACAGCTTGTTGTTAGTGGATAAAATTCCAATATTTTAACTGGATTGTTTTACAATATTAGACAGCTTTTTTCAATTAAATGTTATATTTTCTTATTTTCCTTTCTTGGCTTTTGAAGACTTATCATTTTCTCACTTTTAAACTTCGTTTATTTGGGAAAAGTGAAATGCTGGCCTCCAAAAGACAATGGTTTAGCTAAACAAAAAGAAAATACTACACTATATATTGTTACACACCTCAAAGAAAATTAAGAAATTTATTTTAAAAATACGTTCCTCTTTGAAACGGGAAAGATAATAATCATTTAAACTTAGAGAAGTCAGTAATTGAAAAGTTTAATCAATCCTCAGATGCATTGGGCTTACGTTTTGTGCAGCTAGAGAGATGGGGAGAAAGATGACTGAAAATCCTTTCCAGCTCCCTGGTCAGGAGCTGAAACCCAATGCCTGCTCTGAGTTACATCAGTTCCAAAGTCCAATAAAGACTTTTCTACACTCTCTAAAAGTTAGTCAGAGCATCAGCTGGGCTATATTTTGCACTTTAACCCACCCATGGTTCACTCCCCTGTGCAGTGGGTGGGAAAATGGGTGGAACAGAGATGACTATGCTCTGTGTCTTCTGTACAAAGGAGAATCCTTGTCTGGCCTTTTAGAAAAGCTGGGCGCAAAGTTGAGGGCATGGTTCGTGGTTTCTGCAGCAGAATTGATTGAGCCATTTGTGGCGTTGGGTGAAGTATTTTTAACAACAAAACCAGAATTTGAAAATATTAAGAGCAAAATTCTGCTCTCTTGTCCTTGGTGTGGAATTCCTTGGGTGGAGCAGAACTACTTTCCGGCTTCTCAGAGGCATCAGAATGTGCACAGAGGAGCCCAACTTCTTGGGAACTCCTCTATACCAATGTACAGTGGAGTCTATGTGGGTTGTGGATTCTGTAGCCGTTGCCTCGCACAGAGCTAAAGGCAGAGTTGGAGTTACTCCAGTCTCTGGGCTGCAGTATCAACCATGGACACACTATGGTTAGGGGAGGAGAACCATTCATTTTGCCCATGCCCTTTGGGGCAGCCTCCCTGTGATAGCTTCATGGTGCTGGCTAGAAAGTGTTTATTAAATGTGCTCCACATAGCTGAGTTATCTTCTGCAGCACAGCATGAAACTTAAGGTTTGAAGCGTCTGACTTTAATGTGTTTAAATTTTAAGTGTAACCAGCATTCCATTAACATAAATCTTACACTTTATTTCCATAGGGAATTAATTTGTTTAAAAAAAAGACAAAGGAAAAAAAGCAGAGAGAATGCAAAAACCAAAGCCAAGAAACACTGCATAATTCAATTCCGTGCCAGAAAATGCATTTTTGTACATAATCTTTTTCATATGACTCTAAGTCATAGTCATGGACTATGATTTTAACAGCAGTTTTCCGTTTTAACCCAACCTTTAGGTTGGCAGAAATGTTTGCCTAAAACATCTTTTGCAGAGTACAGTAGTTACTAATATAAATGAACAAATGGAAAATTAGAGTGGGCAGCATTATCTAATCTATTATGATATTGTCATCTGCCTAGAACAGCCCCCCTGGCAACAGAGGGGCCATCTGGGGAGTTTAAGGCTACCCATGGTAAATATTAAATATCAGCCAATAGTAACTTTAGAATTCTCTGCTTTTAAAAATTACCAATTTTCTTCAGATTTAGTAAAGTAATTAGGTTTTGTGTAATCTACAGGGCTGTATCTGCATGGATAATATTTTGAGGGAGTACCCATGATCATGTCTCCCTCTGCTGGTTGACCATAGCAATTACCAGCTTATTGTCAACAAAACAATTACTCCCTTTGCACAAGTAATGGACAGCTGTGTTTTGGGTACTAAACTTCACAGACTGAACTTTTTCTGATGCCTTTGGTTTTTAATATGAATGTGGCAATGATTTCTTACAGAGGGGTTTGTTTCACATTCTTTGAGATTTGCCTAGAGGTAAGGTTTTCAGACTCCAGGCAAACAGAAGGTTCTTGCCACGCAAGCATCAAAGTATGTTTTACAACCCCTCTGCCTCTGTTACCATGAGACGTTCTCTGGGATGTACCATCCCACAGAATGAGGTAAAGATATTAGTTGAAAGTAGCATTGTGCCAGTGAGACTTTCTAATCCTGCCATTGATGAGAGGGACCAGGCAGATAATTTACTTCACTGAAAATATTTGCTATGCTTCACAGAGTGCAGAAGCCTACTTTGTCAAACAGCCAACACTCCTGGTGATAGGAGCTGGACTGCCAGCGGTCCCCCCAAAGTTAAGATGAGGCCAGTTGCTTGCCTCCTAAAGTCTTTTGAAAAGATGGGGGTGCTGTGAGAGACCACCAGATTAGTTCCTTACCCAAAACCATCCAAAAGAAAGAGTGGGGTATTCTTTTAGCTTGTTGGAAAATAATGAGGGTCCCAGACCTTGGGTGTGACTAGACTACAGTTTTGTCGACAAAAGTGGACTTTTGTCGACAAAACTATACCTGCGTCTACACTACCGCTGAGTTCTGTCGACATAACGTCGACAGAACTCAGCAGTTTTGTCGACGCTGGTAAACCTCATTTTATGAGGCATAATGCCTTCTGTCGACAGAGTTCTGTCGACAGAAGGTGTTATTGCATGTAAACTGTCCTTGCGTCTACACTGCCATGTCGACAAAGCAGCTTGCTTTGTTGACAGAACTGAATGTAGTGTAGATGCTCTTTGTTGACAGAAGCTTTGTCAACAGTATCTGTCGACAAAACTTCTGTCGACAAAACTCTGTAGTCTAGACGTACCCTTAGTCTGAAGTCAGATCTGCCAAGTCTTGCCTGAATCTCACTGAATCTTTTAGGGGAGGTTAGCATTCACAACCTACCATGTTTATTCTAGTTTAGGGTTTGGGTGTGGAAGGGCCACATGGCTCTAATATTAACTGTTCTTTTGTGTATATAGACTTTGTTCCTGGCTAGAAGGAGTTAACTGGCAATCTGAGACTTAAGTAGCTATATCTTATTACATATTAGTTGGCTGTTAAACTTGAAAGGAAAGTTTAAAAGGGTGAAGCCCAACAGTTAGAGACTAAAGGGGAAAGTGTTACAGTAGGATTGTCCTGTGGAAGGCAAAGCTCTGCCTGGACACTGGAACCCTGATGAACTGCAGTCTGTCTGAACTGCTAGTAAGGATGGGATGTACCAGCCCCTGGACAGAGGTGGCTTCTGAGCATAGGAACCTGCACCTGAAGGATGGTAAAAACTGAGGAACAGGTGACTTACTGAGCCTGCCTGGGTTGAGGCACTGATTGCTTTTCATACTTTTATTGTATTCTGGTAACAGACCCTGAGGCCCTGAAAGGTGTTGGATTTGTAAAGTGGTCTGGCTAGAGGGCCAGGACACTCCATTGGCCAGAGTAATCCAAAGAAACTGAGGCAGTGTTGCTGAATTACTATATCAGGCTGCAGGCGATGCACTGGAGTGGCAGCTTTCTTACGTTCTCATTAAAGCTGCCTAACTTTTTTAATTATTTGAGACCAAAAAGAAAAAGTTGCACAAACAGGAATTTTACTGTTTACTTAACTCAAATGAAAAATGGCTGGAGCAATATTGATTGGACTTTCCAAACATATTTGCCCCTGAGCTAAGGTCAGTCCCAACATTTTTCTAAAACAAATTCTCATACAGTTAATTAGAATGGGTATAATGCACTGGGATGGAAACACCTTTGCATTCATAACAGTAGCACTAATTACCCAGGCTATAAAGTTTGTAGTGTTCATTAAATAATGGTGCATAGTCAACTGTATTTAGTCAATGCACTGGTTAATTGTACCATCTCAACCCATCAGATCAGAGTTTTCATTATTTTTTTTATACTGAAACATTTAAAACTCAAAATGTCCTCTTTGATAGCTACCACAGACCAGCTAGCAGCCTCGTTTGAAATGGAAATGTCCCAAGCTGGCTTCAGTGCTCATTATTCCCAGGTAAATTAACTGTTTTTATGTAGAATTGTTTTTAGAAGGAAAGCAGTTGTTTATTAATTAATTCGGGGTTTTGGAATTATGTTTCCTGAATTATGTGTGCAATTTTATTACTGGTTTGCAGTATCATGTTTAGGAGCTCTCAATAACTCAGTCATCCATTAAATTTATGTAAGAATATTTATAAGACTAAGTAACTCTCTCACAGTGTGTTGGGATTCTAAATTAATTAATGATCATATAGCACTATGAAATGATTTTCTACACATGTAAATTGTTATAACTGTGTTTTAAAAGAAATATATTGTATTCCCTTTCTGGGTAGGATTTAATATTATTAAATGACTATTTTTAATAATAAAATATTGAAATATAGAGGTGTAGCATTTTTTGTACAAAGACTGAATTCTAAGTGGTTACTGTTAACGGAACATCAGTGAGAGTACTGAAAACTGATAGTAAGCAGAAACTGTTAACTATTTATTTCAGAAAATAATGTGTCTGTCCATTGGATGATCTAGACAATGTACAAAATTGAAATGTTAAATACTAGGCACAAAAGATGGAAAGCCCCCCACCTTAAGAAAAAAAGAGAAGCAAAGGAAAACAACACAAAGAGAAAGGGAATGAATTGGATGGTTCATCAGAGATGAACTGGCCCACCTAAAAAGGCCTCTCACACAGGTGTGAATACAGTTAGTTTAGCATTGATGAAAACCTGAATAACAGACTTTGACTTGCACAAGTGTTGTGTTTCAGAAATGCAATCGTTTGAATTCTACCCTGAGGGACATAAAATATAACATAGTAATTATTATTCAGAGGAACATTAACCCTTAGATATTGACTGACATTATTTTTACCGGAAAAACTTAAATAACAACAAATAGTCTTGTAGCACCTTAAAGACTAACAAAACATGTAGATGATATCATGAGCTTTCATGGGCACAATCCCCTTCTTAGGTGAATGGAGTTATTAAAGGTCCAGTTTTGAAATAAATACAGGATTGGGGGGGAGGGGAAAAAAGGAAAAAAGGGGAAAGAAATAGTCAATTAGTCAATAGTCAATTAGGGTCTCCATGCTACATGAAGCTGATAGAAAAATTCCAAATTGTTCTTAAGTACCCATTGTTTGTTTTTTTACGTCATTAGTATGTGGAATGTAGCGGGCCATCCAGCCAATATCTTTATTCATACCTTTGTGAATAAATTAATTAATGGACACAAATCAGAAATATAAAAAGATAACACACAGAAACCTGCTGGAAAACATTTTAACTTGCCCAGGCACTCATTGAGGATCTCAAACTCACCGTACTGTTTCAGGCCAATTCCACCAGCCAAATACACAGCGAAGCTTTGGAACTTAACTGCATTTACAGGTTTGATTCCTATCACAAAGGTATGAATAAAGATCTTGGTTGGATGGCTGCTACATTCCACATTCTAATGATATAAAAAAAACGAACAATGGGTACTTAAGAACAATTTGCAGCTTCTCTATCAACTTCATGTAGCTCTCCGCGGTCATTCAATTATGAGTAGGACATCTCCCTCTCACCCTCCTATTTGTGGATCCGTTGATGGCTGAATAGCCAAATTCTGGAGCCTCAGGTTTTATCGCAGAAGAGGCAGGTGCTGATGGCTATTGAAGGAACATGGGGTAGTTTTTGCTGCTTTTTTCTCCTTCTCCACCTATCATGATCTGTGCTGTGGCAGGACCTGTCAAATTGCACCACCCCCTCACAGATTACTGCTCTCCACTGGGGACAATCCTGGGCAAGGTTCTCCCAAGTGTCTCACTTCTTCATGTTTGCCTTCAACATATCCTTAAATCGCTACCTCTGGCCCCCAACACTCTTCTGTCCTTCCTTCAGCTCGGAAAACAGAATCTGTTTTGGGAAGCACTGATCAGGCATCCAGACCATGTGACCAGTCCAGCGAAGTTGTCGGTAGATGATGATAGCTTTGATGCTGGTCATGTTCAACTCTTCCAGGATACTAGTGTTTATGTGCCTTTACTCCCAAGGGATATTTAGGATTCTTCTGCAGCAGCATTGATGATATTGTTCAAGTGCCTTCAGGTGATCCTTATATGTTGCCCAGATTTCTCATGCATACAGCAGTGGTGGAACCACTGCATGCTACACAGTTCTCAAAGACCCTTCATCTCAGGCAGGCAAAAGCAGAGCTTTCACAGCTCAGGCAATGCTGAATATCCACATAAATGTCAACTTTGTTGGAGAGATGACTTCCAAGGTACAGGAAATGCTCCACATTTTCCAGCAGTTCTCTTTTGACTTTAATAGATGGTACATGAGATTGTCCTGTCGGTGAGGATTGATGGAGCACCTTGGTCTTTTTTGATATTCAATGTAAGTCAGAGATTCTCATACACGTCAGTGAAGATGCTTAAAATGGTCTGAAGAGCTACGGGGGAAAGAACAGTGTCCATATTGTCGTCCGCGTACAGGAGCTCCATGATCGAAGTCATGGAGGTCTTGCTTTTGGCCTTCAGTCTCCCAAGATGGAAAAGCTTCTTATTCATTCTGTAGACAATCATCATGCCATCTGGAAGTTTGCCGTCAATGAGATGGAGGATCATGGCGATGAAGATGCCGAACAGCACTGGGGCAATGATACAGCATTGTTTGACTCCTGTTTTAACCTCAAAGGGGTTGCTTCAGGATCCATTGTTACTCAGCACTGTGGCAGTTATATTGTTATGAAGCATCCTCAGGATGAAGCACAGGAGCCAGCAAACAGAGCTGTAAACAGGGGAGTTTGAGTGGGAGTTTGTAAGGGGAATTTGGATTGTGGGACTCGTTTGGTGTTTGTTTTTGCCATTGCGGGGGGGGGGTTCGCCAGACTAACAGGATTTAGGTGAGAAGGCTGATAAACAAGATAAACACAGTGGCCATGGCCCAAGTAGTAGAGGACACAAGGAGGATGATTGGATGTGGTAGCTGTTGTATGTACATGATTCTGGAGGGGGTACCTGAAAGGAGTTTTGTTTGCATGAAGTGCCTCCTGATAGAGCTGATGGAAGAAAAGATCCGAGGATTGAAGATGCAGGTGGAAACTTTAGCAAGTTTAGAAGGGGGTTCAAGCAGATGATGGAGCAAAGGTATGAGGTGGCTGAAGGGGAAAGCTTAGACATGCAGATGGAAGCAGGATCAAAGGCCTCTGAGGGGGGACTGCTGGGCTAAGTGAACAGTGGAAGCATGTGACTATGAGAACCAGGCAGAGGAAAAGATGGGCCAGTGAAAGAGAAATAGAGCTCAAGAACAGGTATGCGGAGTTGGAGAATGAAAAAGGGGTACAACAGGTGGCCACTGAAGGTGGAAGGGCAAGGAAGAAGAGAAGAGTGGTTAGTCCGATAGATAAAGGGGAAGAGTCGATGGAGACAACACCAATAACAAGCACCAGGAGGATACAAGATGGGTTGAAGAGGATTACAAGGGAAAACAGAAATGGAAAGGACTTGCAGCTGGAAGAAACAAGAGATAGACCAGAGAATCACACTGTCACCAGGAAAAGGCAGGTCTACGTGATTGGGGACTCCTTATTGAGAAGAATAGACAGGCCTGTAACCAGAGCTGATCCAGAGAACAGAATAGTGTGCTGTCTGCCAGGTGCTAAGATACGGGATGTGGAACTGAAGTTGAAGAGGATCCTAACGAAAGCGGGAAAGAATCCATTGATCATCCTGCATGTAGGAACAAATGATACAGCTAGATTCTCACTGGAACGAATCAAGAGAGACTATGCCAGGCTGGGGAAGACACTTAAGGAAATCGAGGCTTAGGTGATCTTTAGTGGGATTCTGCCTGTTCCTAGAAAAGGGCAACTAAGGTGTCATAGGATTATGATGCTCAATAGATGGCTCAGGCAGTGGTCCTATAAGGAGGGCTTTGGGATGAATGGCCACTGGGAGGCATTCACGGACAGAGGACTGTTCTCTCGGGATGGACTTTACCTAAGTAGGGAGGGAAATAGACTTCTAGGATGGAGGCTGGCTCAACTTATTAAGAGAGCTTTAAACTAGGAATTTGGGGGAGACGGTTGGGAGATGTCCAGGTAATCTCTACGCCGGATTTTAACACCGAGAGGGAGTAAAACGAAGTAAGAAAGGATATAGCTGGGGGTAGGGAGAAGGGTGGAGTGGATAATAGTCTAATCTGTTCCTTTATTATGCAGATGATTACCTCAAGTTCTTTCTCTCTCTCTCTGAAGGTTTTTAGTTCACAGTGAAATTGATACATTTCTGGTGGGCCAACTGATTTTTCTGTGGCTTCAAGAAGCTCAGTCTTGGACAGCTTTGCAAATTCCCCAACTTTGTCCTGCAAAACAGGGACCCAATACCAATAATGCTGTACATCTGATATAGTACTGCAACAAATGATAATATATTGCAAAATATTGGCCTCTCTCAAGCTAATATTCACATATCACATAGATTTATATGTCAAACACCTTTGGAAGTTAGCTCGAATTATTATTACATGTGCATATCAGTTATGACAGACAGCCCTATGACTCTCTAATCCAGATTCCCCCAGTATCCTAACAAGAGTTAGCACATGACTTATTCATAGTTCTCCTGGGTGAAGAAATTAATGATCAAATTTTGTTCAAGGCTTTCTGGGAATCACTTGGAACGCTTCTCCAACTAACCAAAAAAGCACTACAATACCCAATACTCAAAATTTCACTGCCACATTGCCAGAATTTGTTCTAAGGTCATTTTCCCATTAAGGACTCATCAACACTGAAAAATTGATTTTTAAATATTAGTTACTGCATTAACAGTTGAAATGCCACCCGATACAAATTATGTTGCCCAACATGTTTTCAAATGTCACTTTTCGACCCTAACCTAAAGAATGTAATGTGATATTAGATTTGGTTTTGCTGAGTACTGAGGACCTCATAGAAGAAATGGCTGTAGGAGACAACCTTGGCTCAAGCGATTATGAGCTCATTCAGTTCATACTAAATGGAAGGATAAACAAAAATAAATCTGAGACGAGGGTTGTTGATTTCAAAAGGGCTAACTTTAATAAATTGAGGAAATTGGTTAGGGAAGTGGATTGGACTAAAGAATTTATGGATCTAAAAGTGGAGGAGGCCTGGGATTATTTTAAGTTAAAGTTGCAAAAGTTATCAGAAGCCTGTATCTCAAGAAAGGGGGAAAAATTATAGGCAGGTGTTTTAGACCAAGCTGGATGAGCAAGCATCTCAGAGAGGTGATTAAGAAAAAGCAGAAAGCATATAAGGACTGGAAGATTGGAGGGGCCAGCAAAGAAAGCTATCTTATTGAGGTTAGAGCATGTAGGGACAAAATGAGAAAGGCTAAAAGTCATGTAGAGTTGGACCTTGCAAAGGGAATTAAAACCAATGGTAAAAGGTTTTATAGCCATATAAATAGGAAAAAAACAAAAAATGAAGAAGTGGGACCGCTAATCACTGGAGGATGGAGTGGAGGTTAAGGATAATCTAGGCATGGCCCAATATTTAAACAAAAACTTTGCTTCAGTCTTTAATGAGGCTAATGAGGAGCTTAGGGATAATGGCAACATAACAAATGGGAATAAGGATATGGAGGTAGATATTACTATATCCGAGGTAAAAACCAAAATCGAACAGCTTAATGGGAGTAAATCAGGGGGCCCCGATAATCTTCATCCAAGAATATTAAAGGAACTGGCACATGAAATTGCAAGTCCATTAGCAAATTTTTTTAATTAATCTCTAAACTCAGGGGTTGTACCATTTGATTGGAGAATTGCTAATATAGTTCCTGTTTTTAAGAAAGGGAAAAAAAGTGACCCGGGTAACTATAGGCCTGTTAGTTTGACGTCTGTATTATGCAAGGTCTTTGAAAAATTTTTGAAGGAGAAAGTAGTTAGGGACATTGAGGTTAATGGCAATTGGGACAAATTACAACATGGTTTTACAAAAGGTAGATCGTGCCAAACCAATCTGATCTCCTTCTTTGAGAAAGTAACAGATTTTTTAGATAAAGGAAATGCAGTGGATCTAATCTACCTCGATTTCAGTAAGGCATTTGATAGAGTACCTCATGGGGAATTATTGGTTAAATTGGAAAAGATAGGGATTAATATGAAAGTTGAGAGGTGGATAAGCAACTGGTTAAAGGGCGGACTTCAGCAGGTCGTATTGAAAGGTGAACTGTCAGATTGGAGGGAGGTTACTAGTGGAATCCCTCAGGGATCAGTTTTGGGACCAATCTTATTTAATCTTTTTATTACTGACCTCGGCACCAAAAGTGAGAGTGTGCTAATAAAGTTTGCGGATGACACAAAGTTGGGAGGTATTGCCAATTCACTAAAGGATCGGGATATCATACAGGAAGATCTGGATGATCTTGTAAATTGGAGTAATAGTAATAGGATGAAATTTAATAGTGAGAAGTGTAAGGTTATGCACTGAGGGTATGTCTACACTACCCCGCTAGTTCGAACTAGCAGGGGTAATGTAGTCATCCGCAGTTGCAAATGAAACCTGGGATTTGAATTTCCTGGGCTTCATTTGCATGAAGCCAGCCGGCGCCATTTTTAAATGCTGGCTAGTTCGGACCCCGTGCCGCGCGGCTACACATGGCACGGACTAGCTAGTTCGGATTAGACTTCTAATCCGAACTAGCTGTACGCCTCATGGAACTATGAGCCGCCAATGTGATGTGGCCGTGAAAAAGGCTAATACGGTTTTGGAATGCATTAGACAAGTTATTTCCAGTAGAGATAAGGAGGTGTTAGTGCTGTTATACAAGGCATTGGTGAGACCTTATTTGGAATACTGTGTACAGTTCTGGTCTCCCATGTTTAAGAAGGATGAATTCAAACTGGAACAGGTACAAAGAAGGGCCACTAGGTTGATTCGAGGAATGGAAAACCTGTCTTATGAAAGGAGACTCAAAGAGCTTGGCTTGTTTACCTTAACCAAAAGAAGGCTGAGGGGAGTCATCATTGCACTCTTTAAATATATTAGAGGGATAAATGCCAGGAAGGGAGAGGAATTATTTAAGCTCAATATCAATATCAATGTGGACACAAGAACAGATAGATATAAACTGGCTATCAGGAAGTTTAGACTCGAAATTAGATGAAGGTTTCTAACCATTAGAGAAGTGAAGTTCTGAAACAGCCTTCCAAGGGAAGTAGTGGGGCAAAAGACCTATCTGGCTTCAAGATTAAGCTGGATGGGTTTATGAAGGGGATGGTTTGATGGGATAACATGATCTTGGCAACTAATTGACCTTTCACTATTGGTGGTAAATAGGCCAATGCTGGGATGATAGGAGTTACTATAGAGAATTTTTTCCTGGGTGTCTGGCTGGTGAATCTTGCACACATGCTCAGGGTTCAGCTGATCGCCATATTGGGGGTCGGGAAGGCATATTCCTCCAGGGTAGATTGGCTGAGGCCCTGGAGGTTTTTCGCCTTCCTCTGTAACATGGGGCACGGATCACTTGCTGGAGGATTCTCTGCATCTTGGGGTCTTCAAACCATCATTTGAGGACTTCAATATCTGCGATATAGGTGAGAGGATTATTCCAGTGGGTGGGTGAGATTCTGTGGCCTGCGTTGTGCAGGGGGTCAGACTAGATGATCATAATGGTCATAATGGTCCCTTCTGACCTTAAAGTCTATGAGTTTATGAGTTTTTTGGGGCAACCGATTTTTGTGAGAATGGCCGACAGCATGCTATGATTGATTGAATTGAACACCTTGGTCAGGTCGATGAATCTTATGTATAAGGCTTGATTTTGTTTGTGACATATTTCTTGCAATTGCCAATAGGTGGAGATCATGTTCACAGTTCCTTGGAATAGTCGGAAGCCACATTGGGACTCTGGAAGAATTTCTTCTGAGAGTGGCAGGCATTGATTGGCAAGGATTCGAGCTAAGATTTTCCCTACCATTGCCAGGAGTAAGATAGCACAGTAGTTTCTGATTTGTCTCCCTTCTTGAAGAGACTGATGATCAGTGTGTCTCTGAACTCTCATGGTATCTGCTCCCTATTCCAGAATTTGAGAATCAGGAAATGGAGTTGTTTGTGGCTTGCTTTCTTTGAAGACTTCGATGAGGATTCCATCTAGTCCAGTTGCCTTGTTGCTCTTCATCACTTTGATGGCAGCTTGGACTTCATTCAGGGTAGGAAGTATTGCAAGATCGTCCCTAGGCAGTTGTTAAGAGATTCGGTCAAGGGATTCTGGGACTACGGTGGAGGGGCAGTTCAGGAGCTCATAAAAGTGCTCCCTCCAGCAAGAAGCATGTAGCATGGAGACTCGAAGGATATGTCTAGACTACATGGCTCCATCAACGGAGCCATGTAGATTTGTTTGTTGGCTCAGCGCAGCAGCCATTTAAATTTAAATGAAGCAGCCATTATTTAAATCGCCGCTTCATTTCCCTTTGCCTACAACCGTAATCTACATGGCTCCGTCGATGGAACCATGTAGTCTAGACACAGCCTAATTGACTATTTCTTTCCCTTTTTTTCCTTTCCCCCCACTACCTCCTATTTATTTCAAAACTGGACCTTTAATAACTCCATTCATCTGAAGAAATGGGCTGTGCCCAAGAAAGCTCATGATACCATCTACACATTTTGTTAGTCTTTAGGATACTGCAAGACTATTTGTTGTTTTTTAAGTTTTTTAAGTTACAGACTAACTCGGCTATCCCTCTGAAGCTTTTGAATTATTGTTACTGACAGACAAAGGAAGGCTTAAGATAGTTTTGGTTGCAGCAGCCAAAGGATTAAACTGTCTTGATCCGAACCACATTGCAGGACTGGATTTAAGATTGTTGGTATTTGGCAAACTGGAAATGATCTACCTTTACTCTTTCTGGAAGGCCAGATTGACTCCTGAAAGCACAAAAGATTGGTATACTCACCCCTAGGGGGTTAAAATCTACCTGGAGATCAATAGACACACTGTTTTAATGCCATTCCTGGGTAGCCTCTTAGATCAATACATTTCCCAATTGGCCTTGATCTAGCTACTTTTGGTATTTTGCTTATGCTACCTAGCTTTACATCTACCAGTGGAAAAAGGCATTCTCTATTTTGCCTTTACTCCTTTGGCCAAAAGTTGTTAATAAAAATGTGATGAAAAGTGACTTGACTTTATGATTGTAAGGAACATGAAGTGCAAGGTTAAATTCTGTGAGTAAATGTGAAACATCAAAGAAAATCCAGAGATGATGGTTATAGTTCCCGTAAAGAGCAATTTTTTTTCTGTCTGCAAGGACTGGATTATGCTTGGAGCAGTTGGAGCATATGACTGGAATGGGACAGTAATCATGCAAAAAAACAGCATGGTTGTTATGCCAAGAAATGATACATTTAGTGAAAAATCTTCAGAAAACAATGAACCTCTTGCAGCTTATCTAGGTAAGAGAAATGATCCTGCTCATACCTCTGACTTATGATTCATGTGTGCTCTCTCTAAAATTCTTCCGGAAAATATTCTCTAGAAAATATAGACCTGGCTTCCAAGTGGTGGGGAAGTTTGGACATCTAAACTATCATATTTTACTTTGTTAGAACCTGAGTATGACCAGTGGATGAGATGACACAATATGGCCAAAAATCGGCAGTCAGTATAGACTGGGAAACACATAAGCCTTTGAGTCAGTCTAGACTGAGTTGAGAGGAAGTTTCCCAGCCCATTTAGATTGACTCCTGCTGGTTTGTCTCATGATAACATGCTAAAAATAGCAGTGTGGACATTGCAGCACCAGAGAAGGTTTACGCTAACCCCGTGAGTTCAGACCTAGTGGAACTGAGCCAAGGGAGCAAGAGTCCAATTACCTAGGCAAAAAGGCTCACTCTGAGCTGCTATGTAGATACATCTTTATACACATCTACTAGCACAGCCTCATGGAAACAAGTTTACACTTCTATGTGCTTTTGTAGTATTGATCTTAAAATTGGGAATCATAGCAATTAGTGCTGATGCAGTCTGTCAATGTTACATCTGGAATTATTTCACTTCTCCTAGGATACGCGGTAAATTCAGCATCGACCCCGGAAGATGTGTTGTACATTGCTGGGCAACCTCGTTATAATCACACGGGACAAGTTATCATTTACAAAATGGTAGGAGAAGATGTAAAAATACTACAGCAGTTAAAAGGAGAACAAGTAAGCATATATTTTGCAATTAAATATTGGTGGACTATAGTAAAAAAAAACTGATTGCAACATGATGGATCAGAAAAGCATTTTAGGGAAATTCATAAAATGTAAGATATTAACGTGCTCTAAGGTTTGTCTTATCTGCTAAGGAATGCAAAATGGACTTAACCCAGCCAAATATTCCCTATGCAGAAGTTCCTGTGTATAGAGAATCTCAGCCAGCATATAACTAGTGAAGGTAGTATCACCACTTACTATACCAGCTTCTGTCTGTGGGAAGCAGTGGGTATGTCAGGGCAGAGCAGAAGTTTTAGAGAGCCAAGTTCTACTACACTTGATCTCTCTACTAGTCCATAGTGTCTCCAGTTGTGACTTTGATACACAATTTCAGGTATGTCATGCAATCTTCTTTAGATGTACATGCACACACACAGATATACACAAACACACACACATATTAAAAGAACATTAAACTTGCAAAGTTAGATACTCAACATTTAGAAGATATCCAAATTAAGGTGATCTGTGCAACCTTATGCATTCAGGGCCTGTATGTATATGCATTGTGATACAGTCTTTCATTACACGATTGCATATTTTTTTCCACAGAAACACTGCCTCATTTGGTGCACAGGATGGATGTTGCTCATTTTATTAACAGCTATTCAATAATTTGGTTTTTTTGTTCAATATGTGGCCCCATATGTTATTTGTTGTACACTACCCCTACCCTGCTTGGAAGACAGAATTATGATTTTTTTTCCTTGGGATTATCTATATTGCTCCTTACAGTGACGTCTGAGTGCTATATAAACATTAATTTATCTTCATCATGAGAGTGGTGGGAGCATATTAGCTCCATTTTTTCATATGGGAAAGGGAGGGACAGCTGCATACCAAATATGTTGGGTCTAGCTCCAGAGGCATGTAAATTAGACTACCTGACATAGTCAATGAAGCCAGGATTTAAATATCCCCGGCTTCATTAAAATTAAAATGCCCAGCTGAGCCGGCACAGCGCAGTGATCGTCGGCACAGCACGTGAGTCAAGACGCGGATCGGTCGACAAGGGAAGCCTTTGTCAACCACTCCTGTAAACCTCGTATCACGAGGCATACGGGAGCGGTCAAGAAAGGCTTCCCTTGTCGACCGATCCGCGTCTTGACTCACGTGCTGTGCCGACGATCACTGCGCTGTGCCGGCTCAGCTGGGCATTTTAATTTTAATGAAGCCGGGGATATTTAAATCCTGGCTTCATTGACTATGTCAGGTAGTCTAATTTACATGCCTCTGATGACAGAGACATGTAGTCTAGACATACCCTTACTGTTTAGGAGGACTTCTTGAGCAGACAGACACACTCATTCACAGACAGACAAAATGTCTTAACTATATAGTAGATTTTATATATTCATCACACAGCTCCCATTAACATCAGTGGTATTTGTGAGGGCTCAGCACTTCTACAAATAAGACTCCAGCATCTCAGGTCAGGCAAGCAGAAAATGAGGGTCACACCATTAGTGACTGAGGTGGGGATAGAATCCTCTTCGCCAGTACTTCTTTAGCTGCCTCAACCAGGAGACACTCCTTTCTCTTCTTGTAATCTCCAGCCTAAGTCACTACATATCTCCCAATTTCTGCAACAAATAAGAGAGGGGGTTACTACACAATTCTGATCCTTCCTCAGAGCAAGTCCCTCCTGTCCATGGAATGAAATAGAAGTCCTACAGAAAAAAATAGTATGTGATCATGTAATTAAAGACTATATTATAATACAAATGTATAAGGGAGCAAAATTAATGTTTACATGCAATCTTATTTTTGATATTTCCTACCTTTTGAGCGCTTGTCATTGCAAACCTTATTAATAGCTTTTCATCAATATTTTTTGTAATTTCCTAGCTTTTTAAAAATCAAACTGAAACAGAAATTCCATCATTCATATACACATGGTTCACCACCTGAGTTGGAACCTTTAGATCAACTTCACAGATCTCAGACTCTTGAATGAGTGGACTACAGGATAGCAATAGGAGATTGTCATCCTCTATGTGGAACAGACCCAGAGAGGGATGAGAACATACACTGCCAACGGGTATTATAGATATTTACCAACAGCAGAGCAATGCTGAGACTTGGGGTATGTCTACACTGCACGCTTATTTCAAAATAAGCTATTCCAGAATAGTTCTTCCAAAATAGCTTATTTAGAAATAGCATGTCTACAATACAGGCCTAATGTAGACATGCTATCTTGATTCAGAGCCCCAGGAGGCACTGGGGAGGAATAGCTTAGAATGGCCCCGGTGAGGGGCAATTTCAAACCGGAAACAGTGAAGGGTCTACACACATCTTATTTCAAAATAGCTATTTTGAAATAAGATGTGTGTAGACCCTCACAATGTTATTTCAAAATAACGCTAGTTATCTCAATAGTGGTGCAGTGTAGATGAACCCTTGGAGGGGGGTATACTCTAGTAGTCACAAAACCTTCTGCCTGGTTTCTTACCCAGGGTTGACCCTTTCTATCTTATTTCCTCCTACCTGTCCTAACCCAGCCCTTTCTCTTCCCTCTTCCCTAGCTTCTCATCCAGTCCCATTCTCCTTGACTTCCCATGTTCCATGCCTCAGGCTTCTCATGCTATTCCCAGTCTTTTTGTCAAGCCAGCACCACACTTCTCCTTTCCTCCCAGCTCCACATCTGATTTTGGCAACCTGTCCCAACTGCTTCCCAGTTCCCCCACCCTCCTCATACACATACAGAGTTTTCCCTCACTGTCTTCTTGTCCAAGTGAGTTTTCCCTCACTGTCTTCCCTGTCTCCCCCACACGCGCTCCCAGGCCCAGTATCTCCCTCCAGGTCCCAGCCACAGTTTTCTCTTCAGCCTCATGAGCTTCCTTATCCTAATTTGTTCCTTTCCTTCCTTCTGGATTTATGTCAGGCAGCTTCCATACTGTCTGGCTGTCAGCAGAGGGTCATTACTGAAAGCACAGGAGAGCCTGACTCCACTGTCACTTTCAGAGCACCCCAACCCACAACAGCAGAAGCATTATTTACAGGGAAAGTCTGCCTTTGCACCCATCTCCCTAGGCTTCAGCATGACCGTTTTCTTTGTGTGGATGGTGTATACAGAGTGGTCACACTATGCTCTAACTCTCTACTAAAACTAAAAGTTGATCTTTTTCAAAGGCTTATAACTTGTCCAAATTTGGGCATATTTTCACAAGAGGGCAAAGATATATCCCTAACAGAAAGGCCACCACCCTGCCAAATTTTGATTTCCTGCCTCAAAGCAAGAGGACAGTTGAAGAAAAATGTCTCCAGATTTTTTCTAAAGGGAATTTTTTTCTCTAGTCTCATTCTCAGAAATTGCTGAAATATTGTGGCTGAAATTTTCCAGTAAGTGCAATTTACGGCAAAAACCTCACATGTAAATTTCAATCCAAACACTTAGGCTACATCTATACTGCAAGCCTCTTTCGAAAAAGAGCATCTAGACTACAACCAGTCCTTTCGAAAAAGCAAGTTGCTTTTTCGAAAGAGAGCACCAAGGCAGTCTGGATTCTCTCTTTTGAAAAAGCACAGTTTGCATTACATAGTGCCTTTTTTCAAAAGAGCACTTCCAAAAAAAAGGTGTTATTCCTCGTAAAACGAGGTTTTCCGCCGTCAAAAAAACTGTCACGTTCTTTCGATTTACTTTCGAAAGAACACGGCAGCAGTCTAGACACAAGGGAAGTTTTTTCGAAAAAAAGGCTACTTTTTTGGAAAAAAACCCTGTAGTCTAGACACACCCTTAATGTCTCACAAAGATAAATCCAATTGAAGACAGTGTTTTATAACGGGATATGTTGTGTGTTGGTAATATTAGGTAGCATTACCAGTCTCCAGTAACAAGTATATCATGTGTTTCTATTGCAGATTGGGTCATATTTTGGTAGTGTTATTACTACAGTTGACATCAATAAAGACTCATTTACAGACATTCTGCTAGTTGGAGCTCCTATGTACATGGGAACTGAGAAAGAGGAACAAGGAAAAGTGTATGTCTATTCTTTGAACAAGGTAATAGCAATACAGTTATTGACTGGGGGAAGGAGAGATGCTCATTTGTTTCTTTTTATCCCTTATTTGAAAAATAATTATATTAAAACTTTGACTTGGAGATGCTCAAACAAGGCAAGAAAAGTAACCAAAAAAAAGTTAGAGAAAGGGAAATAATTTAATGGCAAATCTAGTTAAATTACCAGCACACAATTCAGAGTAGTTCCAGGGAATTTAATGTAGTATTTTATATGGCTAAACAAGGCATCTTCAATAGAGCTGGGCAAAAACAGAGTTCAGCTCTCATTCACACAACAACTTTCAATTGCATTGACAACAAATTAGAAAAACCTTGCTGCACTTGGATTTCCTGAGTTGATTTCAACTGCAGTGTGGATGGAACTTGTTAGGTCATCCTGCTTGAAGGGGAAGGATGTTTAGAGTACTAGCCATAGTTAGGGGGAGAATGGCTTCAGTTCTTTGCTCTGCCACCGACTTCCTGCTCAACTCTGGGATAATTCACATGGGTACATTAAGGGAAATTCATATACATTAATTGTTGAAGTGGATTCTTAGTTAACCACATTAGACCACTTTGTTGACACTCTGAATCAGAAGTTAAATGACCTTTACCTTAAGTTAAAACAAATTAAAGCCACTTTAGTTCTGAATCAGAGAACATGTCTATATTTATGAGAAGATTGGCACTCTGGAGGTTGATCTTCTAGCATTCAATTTAGTGGGTCTATAGACCCATAAAATCAAATGCTAAGGGCAGCACCCATCAGCATCTGGTACTCCTCTTTCTGCAAGGAGTGTAAGAAGCTGACAGGATCATTTGCTCCCATTCGCCTCCCACTGTGGGGATGCCCCCACATCTTGGCTTAAAGGAAGCCAACTCCAGCTACTCATTTTGCAAAATGAGTAGCTGGAGTTGCATACCTTAAGCTGACCTTCCTGGTCTAGTATAGACCAGGCCAGAGAGTTTATATAGGTATTCAATCTGGTTTAACTAATCCACTTCAAATTCTTATCTTTAGTTAATTTAAATTAACTTTCCAGAGTGTCCCCATATAGAAAGCTCAAAGTGCATCTATAAAATAAGTATAATAATGCTCCCATATTGCATAGGGATCCTGTAAAGACAAAAAAATTAAAGACTATGAGGTGTGGAGATATTATAGTGATGGGTCCCAGACAGAGAATGAAGCGAATGAGAATCTAGCTATCTTTACAATGATATTACTGACTTTTCTTCAAATAATTGTCCCTGTGGATTCCATTTTTGAGGCGCATGTGCCTCATTCACATAAGATCAGATTCATTTAACACCAGAGTCTTCTGGGCCTATGCCCTAGATATCTTCATACTCCTTCATCCCCACTCCCACCATAAAGAGTTCTTTGAGCCCAAATATCCCTCCATTTTTTTCTTACTGCTCGTGGCAGCAACATAGTATCCTTGCAGTATCTGCCTGCATCTCTGTGACTGTTGCAGTTACTGTTAGTGATTTCTTAGTTATGAGGTACTTAGTTAAATTTTATTTTACCTATTGGCTTAACAATAACACCAGTTTTTCATACTCAGTTAATAGGTTCTGTGCTTATCTCTTTGGCATTCCTAGGACAAAGGAACTGAGGGATGGTTTGGCAAGCTCTGGCCCTTATACCCTGATAGGTGAGCTTTAGAGCATCTATAACCTGGCATAGAGTCAATGGATCCCAATGACTGAAAGAATCTGATCTTGCCCATTTGGTGACTATTTCAGGGCTAGTAAACAACCAGACTTACTAAGTGGAATTACAATATTCAGGACAACTGCCATTTGTGATTCAGAATAAACCTGGTTGTATCTTTCTGGTTTAGGGAACTTCTTTTGTATAGAATCCTTACAGCACCTTAAGGAGTTAAATTGTTTAATTAAAGTACCATACAGACATTATTAGGATGCTGTGCCCTTCTATGGCCCATTACTTCAGGAAGCTATCAAAGACTGAGAAACATGCAGCACACCTCTCCTTTCCTGCTTAGAGTCAGCACCAAAGCTTTTCACCATATACAGAGTAATATTTTAACACTGCATGATTTTTGTTAAGTGATTTAACTTGGTTTAATGTATGTTTGTCTTAAACATGCATGCTTTCAAAACACTGTTTTGCTGCAGTCCCTAAACATTACATTTATCCTTTTTCACAGACAACATTTGAATATCAGATGAGCCTTGAACCGATGAAGCAAACTTGCTGTTCATTGTTGAAACACAGCTCTTGCAAAGATCACAAGAACGAACCTTGTGGTGCACGCTTTGGGACTGCAATTGCTCCAGTAAAGGATCTTAACTTGGATGGGTTTAATGATATTGTAATAGGAGCTCCGTTAGAGGATGACCATCGAGGAGCTGTGTACATATATCATGGCAATGGCAGTAGTATAAGGAAAGAATATGCACAGGTAGGAGTCTGTCATAGGGTGTACAAACCCCACACTAGACAATAAGGGATTAAGAACTATTGTGAACTCAGTCAGCCTTACGCTGCCAGTGCCACACCTGCAGCAAATGCTCCATCTGGTGGAGGAATTAAAAGGCAGGGAATGAGCACAGATGGAAGTGAGCTAGAGGTAGATCTGCAAACCACCAGTGCAGAGGGAAGCCTAAGATTCTGACACAGCTGCCCACAAGGGCCCTTACTCAGGGAAGGGAGGACCCACGCTGGAAACAATGAGAAAGAAAAGTATCCTGTGGACCTTGGTAACCTCTCTTACTTATTGCAATTTGGGTTTCCCCACCAGGAGAAAACCTTGAACTAAGCTGACCTGGGGCGTGGATGGTAAACAAGAGTGAAAGGCCCAAAGAATACAGCCGTAAGCAGCATTGGTTGTCAGACTGCTGATAGAACAGAGAGTCCTGTGTTGGAGCTTGGTGGAATGGGAGTGCCTGGGGGCCTCTCCCCAAAATCCCTTTGTAGTCAGAAGTTGCAGTTGTGACCACTAGGCTACTCTCCCAGAAAAAGACTGTTGTAGTCAAACATATAGTTTAGCCGTGGTTATGTGAACAGTGTCTTAACAGATATGTCCTCTGATTAGAGTGGAGTCATTACTCCTTTACTGTTCGATCCAACTCCCACTGATGTGAGTGGAAGTCTTTTACTTTGAATGAGAGAGAGTTTCTTTACTACTATACTTGTGTCTCAATCCAACTGTAACTGAAATCAATGGCAAGATTCCTATTGGCTTCAGTTAGTGTTTCACAGGCCACACTGAAGTCAATGGGAGTTTTTCCACCAGCTTAAGTAGGGTCCAATTGTGACCTGAGCAACCTCAACAGTTTCCCTATGAGAAAGCGAAGTATTGTTACATTCATCTGATTTAATTGAATTTTACTATTATGCTCTATTATTATGAAACACTTTCTTATGTTTGATCATGTTTTGTGTTTTCATTAGAAGCTTTCTAAATATGCTCTTGGTAGATAGATAAAGGACACACTTAACAATTCCTAAAAAATCCAGTAGTGTAAATGAGCATTTATATTGTGGTCATCTCCATCATAACTCTTTTAGAAGGTCTGTAAAGGGGGCAGACAAATTTATCAACCCTCTGAGCTAATACAACAATCTCCACAACTATGAGAGCAAGGGTGCACCTGCCAGAGCTCAGGACTTCAGTCCCGCAAGAGGTGTCTGCTGGGGCTTTAGCCCACTCCTGTTGAAGCTATGAGCCCTGGCAAGTGTGCCCTGCAGGGCTCAAGCCTCAAGACCCTTCTCCAAGCTGGGGCAAAAGCCCCTACTCACCTCCTCATAGGTCCTGAGCTCCCCTCCACCCAGTTTGGTAGGTGGAGAATGGAGAGTACATGGGGGCCACAATTTAATGATAAAAGAACAACTTATGGCTCACAAATCACCCCTTGTTTATAATGAAAATCCAATGATAAAGTTAAAAAAAGCCTGTTCAGATTCAACTCATGCATACTTAATTTTTTTATGTACAAGTTGTTGTATACAACATATAGCTATTAATACTTTTTCACAGCGTATTCCATCAGGTGGAGATGGGGAAAAAGTGAAATTTTTTGGTCAGTCTATACATGGAGAAATGGATTTAAATGGTGATGGTCTAACAGATGTCACTATTGGAGGCCTTGGTGGTGCTGCCCTCTTCTGGTATGTATATTAAAAGCATTTGTTTAAAGGGAAAAAGCCTAATGATTGGCTGCTCTCTGGGTAGATTAATTTTCATTAGGATTGTTTTCCTTATTCCCAGTAGTGTTGTACTAATTTAGATGGAATAAAAAGTCCCAAAGAGACATAGGCATGACTATGACCTGAAACTTTCCAACACTAAACAGAGTTAAATGAGGTTCAGGGTTTGGTACTCATAGACCTCAGCCTACTTAGAACTTGCCATTGCAAAGAAACCATTAAGCAACCTTTTAACATATTAAAGGTACAGAAAAAGGAAACACTGTTAAGACATTTGAAATGCAAAGCATTAAATAAGGCTTTCACTTCAACATTCCTTATTCCCCTTTCCTCTAGCTGTAACATATTTAGAAGGAATTCCATCCTTTACCCCATCCCCCTCCACACCATGTTTGACGGTTTTATGATAGTAATAATTTCTCTCTTTGGAAAAAGAGAGAGGCTGGAACTGGAGCTGCTGTTGTCTATCCTTTCCTTTTTCTTAGAAGAAACAACACATTGATTACACAAACACAAGTGAGTAGGGGGGAGGGACAGCAATGAGAAAATCCAGCTTTTCTCACTTGTAACCTCACTGCTGGAGAAGCACAAGCACAGCTTATGCTCTTGTCAGTCACTCCAAGACCTGACAAACTCTTAGCAACACTGGACAACTTAAGGCATTGCATTTATCTGCCCATTTTGAATCAAAGTCTTAGAGCAGTGTTGCAATATATATAGTGTTGGCCAACTAAGCTAGACTCTTGTTAAACAGAAGGAAAAAGGAGATGGGTAGGAAAGAGAAGAAACAGGGCGAGAAAGGAAAAAGAACATAGAAATTTCACATACCAGGTAGTATTTGGGATTTACCTAAAGCCAGTAGAGGTGGTGATGTAATCTGGTTCCCTCTCCTCAAGTCTGGTCTAGTCAGGACATCTTTCAGGATTAGGATGAAGAAGGTTTGCATCTCAAAAGGCAGTATGGGGTAGCAGCCACAATAGTGCAGCTTGCTTCCTTCCTAGTCAACTAGCACCACAGTTATTAGCATTGCCTCACAAAGCCTCTTTCTGAGGACTGCAAGAGAGAGCAAACTAGCCCATCCTCTCAGTATTGTGCACCTACAAGACCTCATTTTTAGCACACCAGTTTTGATTTGCTAATTTTCATTTCCACAGTTTTGTTTACCAAGGAAGAGCTCAACACATTCCTGGAGTTATATTTAGTAGGCCATTTTCTGTCTCTTTTTTGCATCTTTTCCCATCACATTTGTTTTAGGTTATTGTGACATCTTATTAGATTATGCTTACTTTTTTACATTCCACCTTACAACTAGGGTAAATTTATAGGTACTTTATTTGTTTATTAATTAATTAACATTCACGCACTGCAGGTTTAAGGGCAGACTATTTCAGGAAAACTAATCAAATTACAAACAGAAGTGAAATACATCAGCTCATATTTTACTATTACCTACAAATCTGTATATATTAATGTGTTTCTGAGAGGAGACATAGTGAAAAATGAAACTTGCCATATTATAAAAGTAAACATAATTTTAAAAATATTATTTAAACTAAAAGACCCTATTCTTTTAGCATGAAGACAAAACAAAACATTATCACTGAACCAACCATGTCTTAATGTGTAGTGGCAAAATTAATTACGTATTCCATCCAAGGTCAAAAGAATAAACAACAACAAAGCTCTCGCTTCCTGTAGCAATTGTAATAAAATATATAAAATCATGTTCTTATTTAAATATCACCTATGACTAACTTCAGTATTGACAATGAGTTTTGAGTACAATCTGCTCACACAGGTAATCCGTTCTAAACACATCTGAATTTTGTTTCCCTATTTTTCTTCTTCCCTTTCTCACCTACTACTTTGTCTCATCCAACAGCATTGCCTTTTAGGCCCCACTTTCTCAAAGGAACAACTTGTACTGGGTAAATGTAAGCACGTGTATAAGTCTTTGAAGGAGCTGGAGCCTTTACTCATTGGGGCTCAGGCTCCGTGTTAACAACTCAAAAGTTCAAAATCATGCATCAGGCTCCAAAAATAATCAGATTTTCCTAACAATTATGAGAAATTTTAAAATAATAAATTAAGGGTCTTCTTACTTACATTCTGACTTTTTAACCACGAAGATGCCCTTGGATGAAATTTTCAAGCTCTTCCTTGTGACTGCCAGAAAGACCTAAAACTTAGCTGCTATTTTAAAAATAAAGTAAGATTGTTATCAATCAGTGATCTCCAGGAGTTTGAGCTAAAAGCAAAACAACAAGTATCACAAAATTCATGACAAAACTATAAGACAGTATAGGGACTGTCATTTATTATATGTTCTTGGTATGATGGAACCTGACCTGGTTGAAGCATGTAAGTGCTACAATATTATATATGTTCAGTAATTCTAATAAAAGCAGATACAACTCCTGAAGACAATGAGTGTCGTGCTAATTTATATTGGGCTGGATTTAATTCTTGAAGTCAGTGAAATTCACATAGACAATTCAGTATCTTCTTTGGGGGAAAGGAAAGAGAACAAAAATCATCCTAACAAATAATCCTTCTCCCAAGACTTTGCCATCCAGCATGTTGCAGTTAGATCTACTCTTATTTTTTTGTTGGCACTATATATTTGTTGTCTCGTTTTGGTTTTACATGTTTGGCAAACATCAGAAATGTAAGTAGTGACAACCATTTTGGATAACATTTTCAAAAACACTAAAGCCCATTTTCAAAGGTAACTTAGGCATTAAGGGTATGTCTAGACTACATGGCTCCATCGATGGAGCCATGTAAACTAGTTTACCTGGCATAGGCAAAGAAGCGGGGATTTAAATAATCCCCACTTCATTAACATAAACATAGCCGCCACGCTGTGCCGACGACCAGCTGATCCGGAACAGCGCGGCAGTCTAGATGCGGATCTGTTGGCTGGGGAAGCCTTTGCCGACAAATCCCTTATGCCTTGTGAAATTAGGTTTACAGGATCGGTCGGCAAAGGATTCCCCAGAGGACAGATCCGCGTCTAGACTGCCACGCTGTTCTGGATCAGCTGGTCGTCGGCATAGCGTGGCGGCCATGTTTATTTTAATGAATTTAATCCCCGCTACTTTGCCTATGCCGGGTAAACTAGTTTACATGGCTCCGTCGATGGAGCCATGTAGTCTAGACATAACCTAAGGTACCTAATCCCTTGTACTTGCAATGGGAATTAGGTTCCTAAGTATCCAACAATATCTTTGGAACATGGGACTTAGAAACCTAAATCACTTAGCTGCTTATGAAAATCTTATTCTTTGTGCATTTCTAGGGAAGGTATGAAGAGTATTCCAGTAAATGCTCCCTTCCCATTATACAGTAAACCTTTATGGTATGTAGAGTGTGTGCCACTATCTTCCTCTATCACTATATGTACGGTAATACACAACTTTGCAAGTTTGTTTGTTTTTAAATGCTAAAAGATTTACATTACAATTTTAAGGGTTTTCTTTCCTATTCTCTTAAGGTCTCGTGATGTAGCTGAGATAAATGTTTCCATGAATTTCACACCCAATACAATCAATATTCAAAAGAAAAACTGTAATATGGATAAAAAAGAAACAGTATGCATAAATGTCACAATTTGTTTTGAAGTCAGACTAAAATCTAAGGAAGATACAATATATGAAACAAGTAAGTAGTTTGCACCAAGCTATTGAATCTTTATATGCAAACCTCCTTTATTTGCATTTGGGTTTGATTGGAGGGGTTGTTTTGGGTTGGGTTTTTTTTCCATTTCTCCCCCCTACTCCCTCAAAAAACAGTATACAACTCTTAAATAATGTTTTAAAAAATTGGTATTAAAAATTATTTTATAGTTTATTTAAATAAGATCAGCAAATATAAATTGGGAGGAAAAAAGGGCATCGATATCTGCTAATTGTATCCACAATTTTTTTAATTTCACTATCTTTGTAGATATAAAGTATTGGGCTACACTTGATTCACAAAGACATATATCTCGAAGTTTGTTCAAGGAAAGCCAAGAAAGGAAGATGCAAAAAAATATCACTGTCAAAGGGTCAAAATGTATTAAACATAACTTCTACATGTTGGCAAGTAAATCATATTAAGAGGCTATTTTCTCATTATTACACTGAAATTATCTCTAAGTGCATTTTTATTGTATTAATGCTAAGACAGATTTAAAAGGCTCCTTATATTTGCTGTCATTGTCAATCACTGGTATACACATTAATCCAATTTCACAGTATTAATATTTCTTTGACTACATAGTCAAATTCTCCTAGCTCAGTTTTTTAAAAATTTTGTTTGCTATTTATCTAGATTTAAAAGCCAAGTTAATACAATTGGAATGAATCATCAGCCATGTAAAGGATGGTGGATGACTTAGATGTGGGCAAAAGAGTTAGCTGGAAGATGTGAGATTGGTGCAATTCTTTGCAAATGAAACTCTAAAACTCCATAATTAGGGTTGGAACAGACTATGTATGAAATGACCAAATCTGGAAACACCTCTTTACTATTAAAAAAATATAAAGGTTAACAGCAGTCAGTATGAAAGGCCATTTGTTCTGTAGAATCATTCAAGTAAATTCCTACCATCACCTGTTAAAATATCTATGGCTTTGTCTCCCCTTACTGGAGATTGACGCTGTGGACATCTGTCACTTGGGTGTCAATTTAGTAGGTCTAATAAGGACCCTCTAAATTAAGCACTCTCCTGTCAGCCTCCCACAGAAATGTCTAAGCTTTTGAATGATCATACATTGGTAGAAAAATGGACTAGATGGCTGTATCTCATTCTATGTGACATGTATTTTGGAAATATTGGCTGGAAATAATCTGGTTTTTCGTTAGCTAACTACAGCAAGTTGTTCATTTTTCAAATATTTTTCCTGCACTGCAGCTCTGGTGAGAATGGGATTGAAAAATATTGCACCTGGAACAGTTTCCATGTTTATTTTACTTTATAGACTTCCCTCACTGGTCGTTTCAAGTGGAAAATATAATAATAATTGTTCCATTTGTTTCATTTCTAGGACAAGCCTGATTTCCAGGACTCTGTAAAGGTTTTGTTGGAGTTCAGTTTTTCCGACCCAGAGAATGGTCCTGTCCTTGATAGCAACCAGCCAAACTCGGTGTATAAATATGTAAGTCAGTAAATTCATGGCTAATATATGGAGTATTTAAGGTGAGCTTCAGAAGGATTTGAATCAGGTTGTGAAGCTCAAACTGCATTTTAAAGCTGAGTTACCTGCCCAGATAATATACTCCTGTGAAAGGAAGCATCTGTATCTAGTATACAAATTAGAGCAGGGGAATGTGACTCTGGACTTGTTAGTTTAAAATTGTGAACAATTCTGACTCAGTCTGTGATCTTCGGTAAATCACTTAACTTTTCTGTTCATCCTTTTTATAGATATCCCTCTTCTGCAGCTGGGTAATAACACCCAACTATTTTACAGGGTACTGGGAGGCTTCATTAACTAATACCACAATAGTCTCCAAGAGTCATACAGCATTTTATAATGTAAAACACAATAATGACTTGAAATGCTTAGAACTTGATTATATTTATAACAAAATGTGAATACATCTGTCAATATTATTGTTGCAGATTCCTTTCACAAAAGACTGCGGGGTCAAAAATAAGTGTATTACAGATTTGGTTCTGATTATAACAGAACATATAGCTGGAAACAGGTAACTACATCGAAACTTAACATAGCTGCCATACTAATAAAATAGAGATTCCGTGCTCTGATAAATATTGGTAATCAGTGTTTTCTCAGTCAAAAAAAAAAATAGTGTGACCATGGAAAAAGTTCCATTGCTTAATTTTTTATCACTTTGGAGACTAAAGATAATTAACATAATGGTTATTTTATTTTACAGTTCCTCTCCATTCATCATAAAGTCAAGCAATGATAAGTTGAAAGTGTTACTGACTGTCAGGAATAAAAAAGATAGTGCCTACAATACCAGAGTCCTAGTACAATACTCTCCAAATATTATTTTTGCTGGAATTGAGGTATGGATTTTTCAATTTATCACAATCTGTGGTTGGGAGGAGGGAGACTCGAGGAAGTTGCTGTATTAAGCTGCTAAACTAGGGATAATTAGTTTGACAATTATCATAGTACTAAAATTTCCAAGCAAATCAAGCACCATTATGGCATTTAAGGAAATGGATGAAAACACTATTCTTCAAATGAAGATGGTGTCAGAGAAGTGCAGATAGTCAGGGCCTAAATCTGCCTTCACTTACACTAGCAACACAAGGTGAGTGAAGTAATATCTTTTATTGGACCAGCTTCGATTGGTGGCCTTTCAAATATGACAGAACTTCTCATGTTCCTGAGCTTTAGCCTAGACACTCTGGTTATCTTCTGACCTGAGGAAAAGTTTTGTAAAGTTTGAAAGATCATCACTTTCATCAATGGAAGTGAGTCCAATAAAAAATACCACTTCACGCACCTTGTGTCTTAAAGCAGTTTAATCATGAGAAAGCTGCAGAAATAATCTGATTTACTGCAACCAGTGGAGCAAGTACTTTCAAAGCATTAAGAAAAATACATAAGGATGTATAAGAGCAAGGAGAAATACCAAGTGACTTGTCAGAGGCAATACCTGTGCATATCCTGAAGAAAGGAGATCTTGTCAATCTCAGTAATTATAAAAGTGCAAGCTAATTATCACTACTGGAAAAACCATGCTGAAAATAATTGTGAGTTGATTAAGGCAAGTCTTAGAGAAAGTAGTAGGCAAGGAATAGTGTGGCTTCAGCTCAGGATGAAGTTGCATTCATCAGATATTTATAATCCCACATTTAATGGAGGAAATGTGGCTTAAAGATATCTGCTATTTTCAACAACTTCACAAAGATGTTTAATTTGGTTTAGAGTGGATCAGTAAGTAGTGAAATCTATATGGAGTTCCAGCTAGGATAACTACACGGAAACAGTTATGTATGAAGTCTTCTGTACCACTCATGGAAAAATAAGCAGCTGATTCAAGCAAGAAGGGTGTAAGAAAAGAGCATGGAATCACCATCACTTTTCATCACGTTCCCAAATTAGATATTACGAATGGTAGATGAGATTGAGGGTGTGCCATTGCATAAACTAAAGAACTTAATTCTAGATCATACAGATGGCATTGTACAATTGCCAGAAATCTTTTGTTTTAAATATGACACTCTTTGCTACCTTGGAAAATTGGTGTTGTCAACTTGAACTTACAATACTTGCCAAGAAGATGAAGTGGTTGCATCTTGTGAAATGGACAATAGAAGAGGTATTAAAAGGTGGCAGCAGTGAAACCATAGAACAAGAGAAATCTTATGTGTACCAGGAAGCTCAATCAGTGCAGATGAGTCCATCAAGGATGAAGTTAGAAGGAGATGCATTGGAGCTGCCGAAGTGAAAATTTGTCAAGACCCTTTATTAACCATTGTACTTTATAGTTTGGAAGCAGCTGCATAAAATGAAACCAACAGTAGAGAAAAGAGTTCTTGGAAGATAGAAGGTAAAAAAAATTGGAGAAGAAAAATGAAGTTGGAAGGAGAGTAGACTGTGAAATCAGAAATGGTTATGGGATTGGCTGCAATCAAAAATATTATGAGGTTGGGGACATTGAACAAGCAGACAGGAATCCAAAAAATGCAAACACAACCAGAGTCATAAAGGTTGACCAGAGACTAGGTGATGGAATATCATGTGCAGGGACTAGACCAAGCTGGGTTTAGTGGAGGTACAAATGATGGTCAGGAATGGTGACATTGTACTGCTCCCCATATTGATAAAGATGCTTTGGGATATGAAAAGAATTTTTTTGTATAGTTTAAACTTAGCCTTATGCATTTGCATAGTTCCCTATAAATTTCACTGATGAACAATAATAGTAATTCTGATATAACTTTATATAACAATATTAAAATATTGTATGTGTTATGGCTTTCTATACTTGTTTCATAGACTAACAATTTGAATTTTAGATGATGATGAAAAGTGACTATTACTACAAAAACCCTGCTGTGCTTCTGGGCTGTTTAAAAAGTTTAAAAATGTTGTACATGAAAGTGAAATCACTCTTGTAATCATGTGACTCTTTCTGTCTAGGATATACAGAAAGATAGTTGTGAATCCAATCACAATATTACCTGTAAAGTGGGATACCCTTTCCTAAAGTCTGGAGATGAGGTAGGAAACTGGTAATGGGATATTGGAGAGGGCAGTAGTCTCTGTATAGCAGTTGCCAATCTTGAGCTTTCATACATGATCAGTTTTATATTTATGAACTAATTAGTGCTTCTAGATTTAAATAAACCTCAAATCTAAATAATGTCAAATAACTTATATCAACCTTCCCTCCCCCTCCTGCACCATGAGTCCCTAAAATAATACTCAAAAGGATTCCCTTTCTAATATCAGTCTAGTCCTTGTCTCTCTATGGAAATACCCACATAGGGTCTACAAAATGCCATGATGGTTCCCCCCAGCATAGTTACCTTTATATTTTTTAAGGAAGGAACCTAGAATTCATCCCTCCAAACTCTACTTGTCCTGTGAGGCTTCTTCATGGAGAACTTGGTCTGGATCCACAAAGGGATTCCACATCACAGTATCAAACTTTTAGTTTAAAAAAAAAACCCTCAGGAACAATGCTGTGAGCCACAAAACCTGAGCAAGTGCTTAGGCTTCTATATAATGAATGTGGGGAGGTGTGTGACCTTAATATGTGATTCACAAAAGCTGGGGGAAGTGGCTTTGCCAGCCCTGGGAAAGATGGAGAAGAGGGGTATCCTAAGCCCTGCCCTTCTCACAAAGATAGTTGTCTCATTCTGGGATACAGGGAAGCACTTGCCTCTGTTAATCAGCCAAAACCAAAACCTCCCTCTCTTGGAATCAGGTAGCTAAGCCACCTAAGTTGGTTTCTGTGAGAATGAGTTACGCATTCCCTCCACACAAAACAGGAGGTTGAGGTGAAATCTGCTGTATAACTTCTTGCTCAGTGGTTATGGCACTCAATTAAAGAACAGGGGAACTTGACCTTGGGTACCCCACTTCCCAGGTGGATGCAGTAGCTAAAGA